TGGGCCCTGAGTTCAAGCCCCAAGATTGGCACAGAAAAATTAAATCTTAGCCGGGCACTGGTGGCTCATACTTATAATTCTAGCTGCTCAGAAAGCTGAGCTTCGAGGACTGTGGTTAAGAGTCAGCCCGGGCAGGAAAGTCCATGAGACTCTAATCTGAAACTAACCACCAAAATGCTGAAGTGGAGCCATGGCTCAAATGGCACAGTACAAAAGCTCAGAGACAACAGCCAGGCCCTGGCTCATGCCTATAATCCTAGCTACTCAGGAAGCTGCGACCTGAGGATCATGGTTCAAAGCCAAGCTGGAATTAGAGATGCTCAAGTGGTAAAGCATCAGCCTAGAGCAGAAGGGCTGAGGGACAGTACTCAGGGCCTTGAGTGCAAGCCCCAGTACCAGCACATAAAACAACAACAGAAGACCTGAGGTAGAATCAACTCTTAGGGTTCCTTGTCTCTCATAGAACACACCCCCTAACCTTCCTGCAATCAACGAGCAGTACTGGTGACTCCTTACAGTATACAACCGATCTGTTAATTTGGAAATAGTTCTATTTAAGCTACCAAATGAAAACAATTCCCGACAGCTATCCAGAAAGTACCAACAAGTACTGGTACCTGCCACAAACCCAGACATGAAAGTCATTATTCAAACCAGGGAAGCAAAGTTTTCAAGTGAAATAAGCAAGTTGATGTTTAAGCATGGTAACGAAGGTTCCAACTCTTGCCTGGTACTCTTGGCTCAGGGTCACCTGTAATCAATCCCAGCTACTTGGGAGGCTGAGATCTGAGGATTGACGTTGGAACGCAGCCCGGGCAGGAAAGTCCATGACACTCCTATCTCCAATTAGCAGGAAAGTCCATGAGACTCTTACCTCTAATTAAACACCAGAAATGGAGCTGTGGTTCAAGTGGTAGAATGCTAACCTTGAACAACAACAACAAAAGGCTCAAGGACTGCACTCAGACCCTGAGTTCATGCCCTAGGACTGGAATGAACACACACACACAAACACACAAACACACAAACACACACACACACACACACACACACACACACAGTTTCCCAACTCTTTCCAATGCTGGTGTTGAATGCTCCTTGAAATTAAGTTAGTGGTTTTCCTACCAACAACTCAACTGGAGGCACTGTATGGATTATCAGGGAGAGCCACCTTCAAAACCCTCCAAATGAAAAAGGTTTTAACAAATGTCTGCGGACATTACTACATGACTGGATCTCCAATATACAACACTGATGGGAGAAAGGAAGACCTCCAAGTCCCTGTCTCTTGGGACTGAGGCAGAAATGATGTGCTATTCTATCACTTTGATTCTTAAAAGCATAAACATTATTTTCAGAATACTAATTACAAAATGGCCTTTTGTTATTATTGCTAGGAAATGCAGATGAAGGCCTAGGAGTGTGGCTCAAGGACCTACCCTACTTAGCAAGTGTGAGGCCCTGGGTTCAAACCTCACTATATACAACCACTACAACCACAACCACAACCACCACCACCACCACCACCCCCCTAGCCCAAAAGAAAAATAAGCAGGAAAAAAATCTTCAGATGAAAAAACACTCTTAGTAAAGCAGGAAGATTGCAAGATTGAACTATATAGCAAGATGCCATCTCAAGAAAACAAAACAAAGCAAAAATGCCAGTTTTCATAAAATGTTAGCACACTCACCAAATCTTTTACCAATTGAATTTGTTTAATAGTTCTTTTTTTTTGGGGGGGGGGTCGGTCATGGGGCCTGAACTCTGTCCCTCAGCTCTTCAGCTCAAGGCAAGTGCTCTACCACTTGAGCCACAGCACCACTTTGGGCTTTTTCTGCTTATGCGGTACTGAGGAAACGAACCCAGGGCCTCATGCATGCGAGGCAAGCACTCTACCACTGAGCCACCTTCCCAGCCCCTGTTTAATAGTTCTTGAGCAATGGGATCTGCTGGCTCATTAAAATAAAGAGGAAGGGGGACACCTGTGGCTCACGCCTGGAATCTTAGCTACTAAGGAGGCTGAGATCTGAGGAGGCTGAGATCTGAGGAGGCTGAGATCTGAGGATCGCAGTCCAAAGCCAGCCATGGCAGGAAAGTCCCTGAGATTCTTTTTTTTTTTTTTCTCGGTCGTGGGGCTTGAACTCTGGGCCTGGGCGCTGTCCTTCAGCTCTTCAGCTCAAGGTGAGCGCTTTACCACTTGAGCAACAGCGCGACTTCTGGTTTTCTGGTGGTTTATTGGAGATAGGAGTTTCACGGTCTCTCCTGCCCAGGCTGGCTTTGAACTGAGATCCTCAGATCTCAGCCTCCTGAGTAGCTAGGATTACAGGCGTGAGCCACCGACGCCCGGCTGTCCCTGAGATTCTTATCTCCAATAAACCACCAGAAAAGTGGAAGTGGCGCTGTGGCTCAAGTGGTAGAGCGCTGGCCTTGAGCTGAAGAGCTCAGGGACAATACCCAGGCCCAGAAGTCAAACCCCACGAAGCACCAAAAAATAAAAGAGGAAATCTGTGTAGTTATAATGGCCATATCTGGAGCACAGTTGGTTTGTTTATCCTGTTTCTTATTTTCCAAGTTTTCACAGAGTAAGAGATGGTACAGACCCACCTGCTACCCATGAGATGCTACCAAGAGAGCTAAGGCGAGCTGGGCATGGTAGCGCATGCCAATCATACCAATAGGCAGGAGGCTGAGGCAGGAGAATCATGAGTTCAACACCAAACACCAACCTGGCCTTGAGCAAGACACTCTTCCTAAAACAAGAAGACTGGGATGCTCCACTCCCACAGTCGCTCCAAATACAGAACAAACCACTGCAAACAGCACAACCGCCAACCCCTGTGCACAAGGCTCACACAGAAGACACCAGAAACAAGCCACAGATCATGCCACCAATATTGTCCTGGAAGTGCCCAGCAACCACAAGAAAAGTGCCTGCTGAAAAGCAGGTAGCAAAACCATCAGTAGGTGTACTGATGTGTACTCACATAACCCAAGAAAAACCACCTGAAATATCATCAGAAAGAGTCAGACAGTTAACAACATCAACCATGCAACTGCTTTTCTCTAAACCAACCGTACCATGGAGAAACATACTGGAAGAAGTAGCCAGGCATGCAGTGATAGCAATGGGTAAAACACTCATGGAGGGATAGGACCAGGACAATGGGACCTGCAGAAACTGTTTTGAGAAGAAGGCTAAGGAATACGAGAGACTGATGGGAGGGGGTGAGGCTGATTAGGATAAATTTGTAGACTATGAGAAAATATCACAATGAACTACCTTTGCACAACTTATGTATGCTAATTAAAAAAAGACAAAAAAAGGTTCATACCCATAATTCTAGCTACTCAGGAGGTTAAGATCTGAGGATCACAGTTGGAAGCCAACCAGGGCAGCAAAGTCCATGAGACTCTTATCTCCAATTAACTACCAGAAAACTGAAGTGAAGTGGCACTGTAGCTTAAGGTGGTAGAATTCTAACCTTGAGCAAAAAAGCTCAAGGACAGTGCTCAGCCCTTAAGTTCAAGCCCCACAACTGACAGAAAAAAAAAAAAAGATTTCTGCAGTGTAGCCAGTAGTGAAGTGTGCACTTGGCATACACTAGGACATGAATATCAATGTCCAACAACCAAAATACACAAAAATAAGATATATGCAGACTGTTTTAAAATAAAAAAGGGTTGGGAAGGTGGCTCAGTGGTAGAGTGCTTGCCTCGCATGCATGAGGCCCTGGGTTCAATTTCTCAGCATCACATAAGCAGAAAAAGCTGGAAGTGGTGCTGTGGCTCAAATGGTAGAGCGCTCACCTTGAGCTGAAGAGCTGAGGGACAGCGCCCAGGCTCACAGTTCAGGCCCCACGACCAACAAAAAATAAATAATAAAATAAAAAATAAAAACCAACAACAACAAAAAACACCAGGGGCTGGGAAGGTGGCTCAGAGGTAGAGCACTAGCCTTGAGCTGAAGAGCTGAGGGACAGCGCCCAGGCTCACAGTTCAGGCCCCACGACCAACAAAAAATAAATAATAAAATAAAAAATAAAAACCAACAACAACAAAAAACACCAGGGGCTGGGAAGGTGGCTCAGAGGTAGAGCACTAGCCTTGAGCTGAAGAGCTGAGGGACAGCACCCAGGCCCAGAGTTCAGGCCCCACAACCAACGCCCCCCCCCCCAAAAAAAAAAAAAACACCAAATCTGGGCCAGGGAGAACATGCTTGTAGTTCCAGCTACAAGCTAGAACTTGGTTTTGTTTTTTTTTTTGGTCCGGTCGTGGGGCATGAACTCTTGGTCTGGGCGCTGTCCCTCAGCTCTTCAGCTCAAGGCTGGTGCTCTACCACTTGAGCCACAGCGCCACTTCCGGCTTTTTTCTTTTTGCTTATGTGGTGCTGAGGAATCGAACTCAGGGCCTCATGCATGCAAGGCAAGTACTCAACCACTGGGCCACCTTCCCAGCCCACAAGCTAGAACTTGGGAGGCTCAAGGAAGAAAACTTGAGCCCACAACTTTGGGACCAGACAAAGCAACTTCCTCTGTTTTATGTTCTCTAATCCATCTACTCAGGAGGTAATCAAGAAGATCAGTCTGAGGCAAAATAATAACTGAAAGAATTAGCAAGACCACTGTTCAACCAATAAGCCAAGCATGGTGGCAAGTGCCTGTGGTCCCCAACTATAGGAGGCAGAGATAGCTGGATCACAGTCAGAGGGGCTACAAAGCAAATTCAAGAAGAGCGGGCGGGGGGCTGGGAAGGTGACTCAGTGGTAGAGTGCTTGCCTTGCATGCACGAAGCCCTGGGTTCGATTCCTCAGCACCACATAAGCAGAAAAAGCTGGAAGTGGTGCCGTGGCTCAAGCGCTAGCCTTGAGCTGAAGAGCTGAGGGACAGCGCCCAGGCCCAGAGTTCAAGACCCACAATCAACCAAAAAAAAAAAAAAAAACAAAACCAGCATAGGGTATGTCAGATCCAGTTTCAAACAAAACAAAACGAAGTCCTCCTACCTGTCTGAGCAACTCCAGCTTCTTCAGCTCTTCATTGTAGGCTTCTGGGTTCTCTCCATAATTCTTTAGGACAAACTAGGAGGAGGAGGAAAAAAAAGAATGTAATCCAGTGAAAGATAAGACAGACAGAGACAGAGACACACACTCCTCCCCAGATCTCTGGTGATCGCCAGCTGGAGTCCAGGCTTGATTCTACACCCACAGCTGGTGTGGAACTACTCTTCCACAACAAAGGGTGACACCAAGATACTATAGCCACGAACGCCTCCTCTGAGCATAGTAGACCCTGGGCAGGTCCTTAAAATGTTGAAGCCCTCTCCACAAAGTCCAGGATTCTTCCAGCTCAGGAAACTAGGGAGCTTAGCTGGCTAAGTAGGACCCTAAAGGGTCACAAACTTAAGCATCCTTAGGATTGTACCCTGCTGTTTTGGAATCATAATCCAATGACTTATGTAGGTAAAAGGCACCAAACAAGACCAAGAGTAGCTGGGTGCCGACGGCATGTGCCTGTAATCCTAACTACTTGGGAGGCTGAGATCGAGGTTCAAAGCCAGCCCAGGCTGAATCACCAGAAAACAGGAAGTGGCACTGTGGCTCAAAGTGTTGGAGAATTACTAGCCTTGAGCAAAAGAGCTCAAGGACAGTGCTAAGGTCCTGAGTTCAAGCCCCACGACACACACACACACACACAGACAGACACACACACACAGATAGTCAGACACACACAGACACACAGACACAGACACAGACACACACACACAGACAGACAGACAGACAGACAGACAGACAGACAGACAGACAGACAACACACACACACACACACACACACACACACAAGCAATCCTACAAAACCTTCTCTGGCAACTCTATCCTTGCTAGGAAAGGGAACCACAGGTGATCTGCAATCTTGTCTGGTGGGAATGACCCAGATGGGACCTGGGGACAGGGGATTCAACTGCCACATCAGGAGACTGATGTGCCTGCCCACCACCTCAAGAGCCGTCTGTCTTAGACAGAGAGCATCCACACCAGCTGAGTCCTGAGTGAAGGACCCTGCCTTGTTCAACAAGGATCAACAGACTAAGGCAGTGGAATTACCCCTGCTGCCATGCTTGCTGCTGGTTCACTGGCTAGCAATCTCCGCTGCCATGCTTGCATTGGCTAACAATCTGGGGTAGAGGGAAGCCACGTGCTCTACAAAGGACACTGATGACTAAAGCACAATGACTTCCAGGCCCCAGCCAAGGTCTGTGAGTTGCATTCTTTTCCTGTATTCCTTTCCAAGACCCAGGACCCAGTGCTAAGGAATCAGTCACGTGGGAACGGGGGATGCTGGAGACAGGTTTCATCTACACTAGTAGGAAAAGGGAAGGGAAAGGAAGAGGGAAGGCTAATGCTGAGTTAATTACAGCCCCCTCCAGTTAATTCTCTCAATCCTCTGGCCCTTCCTTCCCCCCTCTTCTCTTGGTTTTTACCTCCTCAAAGTCCCTGGACCAGCAAGCTCAATTCTTTTACCCCCTGCCACCTCAACCCACTCCTACAAATCCATCGGAACTCTGACGCCACTCCCAGCTTTCCATCCCATGATTGAGAAAGAAACGCACACCCTTGGGGGGAAAAATAAAACAAAACATCCTCAGTTCAAGACAGAGAAAGCAATGGGATGTGATCTAAAGAGAAAAAAAAATCTACAAAATGCGTGCCTATGTGTTCTTGATGCCTGGTGAGGAAAGCAATTTTTAATATTTATTTTTTATTAAGTAGTTGTAAAAAAAAAAAAAAAAAGGAGTCCCAGTTCGAGAAGTCAGGTTATGAGGGCTGGGAAGGTGGCTGAGAGGTAGAGTGCTTGCCTTGCATGTATGAGGCCCTGGGTTGGATTCCTCAGCACCACATAAGCAGAAAAGCTGCAAGTGGCATTGTGGCTCAAAGTGGTAGAGTGCTCGCCTTGAGCTGAAGAGCTGAGGGACAGTGCCCAGGCCCTACAACCAACCAAAAAGAAAAAAAAAAGCCAGGCACCAGTGGCTCACGCCTGTAATCCTAGCTACTTAGGAGACTGAGATCTGAGGATCGTGGTTCAAAACTAGCCCAGGCAGGAAAGTCTGTGAGACTTTTTTTTTATAATATACATATTTTTATTGCAAAGATACTGTACAGAGGGGTTACAGTTACATAAGCAAGGTAATGAGCCCATTTCCTATGGAGCATTGTTACCCCCTCCTTTGTTTTTCCCCTACTGTCCCTTTCCTCTCCACCGCCCCAACTCCTCCCTGACTCCTATCTTCAATAAACCACTCAGAAAACCAGAAGTGGCGCTGTGGCTCAAAGTGGTAGAGCACTAGCCTTGAGCTGAATTGCTGAGGGACAGCACCCAGGCCCAGAGTTCAAGCCCCACGACTGACAAAGAAAAAGGGGGGGAGGGCTTGAGCTATGAGGTAAAATTTGATTATCTGAACAGGAGCAGATTTTTCAATTGACTCCATCTCATCTAAGAGGTTTTAAGTCTGCCCACTGTTAGACTAAGTCCAAGCACAGCCCAGAGGCCCTGAGAGATCATACAGGCCAAAGCAATCAGAGTGACATGGTAAGTTCTCCTCTAAGAGGTCTTCATGTGGCATTGCAGAAAACCCTGTCCCTGTTCTTCACACAGTGGGAAGGGGAGAGGGCTGCTGTCCACGTAACTTCATTGCTTCCCTAAGATGAGCACGCACATCCCCAAGATGAGCAGCCACAGGCTAGCACAGAGAGCCTCAGACACTCAATCCGTACACAACCCACACAGGGGATATTGTTCTGATTATCACCATTTCACACTTGAGAAGAGAAATCTGAGGGCTGAGTGATACAGGGAGAATGACTGGAATACACTGTACACAGGTGTGAAAATGGAAAAGAACCCCCCCCCTAACTAATGTCAGCTAATTTTCTTTGGAAAAAAGTGAGGTCATTTGCCAAGGCTTCACAGTACTAGTAAATGAAGGGGCAAGGACTGAAATCTAGGCATTTGGACTTCAGAGACCATGTTATACCATCTATTTGTTTCTGATTTGTTTGTCCGTCCCAGATCTTGAACTCAGGACCTGGGTGCTGCTCCTGACCTTTTTTGCTCAAGGCATGGTACTCTACTATTTGAGCCATAGCTCCATTTCGAACTCCAAAGAGTCTCATGGATTTCCTGCCCAAGCTGGCTTTGAACAGTGATTCTCAGATCTCAGCCTCCTAAGTAGCAAGGATTTCAGGCATGAGCCACAGGTACCTAGCTTATGCTAAGCTCTTTATTTTTGTTTTTGTCGGGAATGAGGCTTCAACTCGGGGCATGGGCACTGTTCCTAAGCTTTTTCGCTCAAGGCTAGTCCCTACCACTTTGAGCTATATAGCTCCACTTCCGGTTTTCTGGTGGTTAATTGGATAGGAGTCTCACAGACTTTCTTACCCAGGCTGGCTTAGAATCGCACTCCTCAGATCTCAGCCTACTGAACAACTACCAGAGCTTGCTATGATCTTAGTCTGACATACTATCTCCAAACCTCAATGCTAATTTAAAGTGATAAATCAAAAAGGAAAGGCATGAAAAAGGATTGAATATGCAACTTTTTTTGTTTTTTTGGTCGGTGGTGGGGCCTGATCTCTGGGCCTGGGCGCTGTCCCTCAGCTCTTCAGCTCAAGGCTAGCACTCTACCATTTGAGCCACAGTGACCACTTCCAGCCTTTTCTGCTTATATGGTGCTGAGGAATCAAACTCAGGACCTTATGCATGCAAGCCAAACACTCTACCACTGAGCCACCTTCCCAGCCCACAACTTTTCTTTTGAGGTTCACTTGAGGGCCTTGAACTCCTAGGTCCAGTAAAATTCAGATTCTCAGGCAGCTGGGACTGCAGACACTGACCTTATTGCACCACAGGGTATTAGTACCTCATTCACACATACACTCTCCTTGTTCCTCTACTTCCAGAGCTGAGTCGAATATAAGGCATTCCTTGAATTGCGCTCAGAAATACACAATGAATCGAGTCCTGCATATAATACTGTCACTTTGTACAATACTCATACAGCTGCTGAACTTCAAATGAGGTTATTTTTATTCGAGAAAGAAGTGCTGGGGCTGGGAATGTGGCTTAGTGGTAGAGTGCTTGCTTGGCATGCATGAATCCCTGGGTTCGAGTCCCCTGTACCACATAAAAAGCTGGAAGTGGCACTGTGGAAGAAAAAGCTGCAAGTGGTAGAGTGCTAGCCTTGAGCAAAAGCAGCTCAGGGACAGTGCTCAGGCCTGAGTTCGAGCCCCAGGACTGGCAAAAAAGTGCTGCCAAGGGAAATTTTTAGCCTTTGGCTCCCTGTCAGCAAGCCTGATAGACAATCACCGCTAAAAGTACTGCACCTGAAAACAGACTCTCAATTGTCCCTTAACCTGAACCTGGGGAATACTGAGCCCCTCCTCTCATCTCACTTCTGATTGGCCCCTGGGTCTCATAAACAGCCGAGTGAGAAAGACTCAAGTTACCTCTCCCAGAGGAAGTCAGAACTAGATCAGGTGATCCAGCCAACACCTACAAGGAACTCCCCACACAAGGATTTACTACTGCCTGAGTGAAGGACCCAACTCTGATCTAAGCCCTGAGTGAAATGGACGTGGGCCTTTGCTGTATGGGATTAGCAAAGTCAGAGAAGAGCAGGGACCAGCCAGGTCATCTGTGGCTAGAGCCATTCTGCTGTGAAGTCGAATCTGTGATTCCATTTCACCTCCACAGGTAACTGACAATTTCCCCATTTCCTCTTAAGGCCTCGGAATTTCTCAATTACCTTTCTCTCTTTGTGGACGTGCAAATGTACACTAATTTTCTAAGAGCCAGCGGTCCCACGGGGTAACAGGAAAAAGTTCCACAAATCTGAAAAGCCAGGCCCTCCCTAGATGTGAATAGATGAAGGAGGCGGCATGTGTGCGCACCTTAGGTTGCAAGGCAACTGAGTGCTGGAAAGGCCGGTCTGATTCAGAGGAGGTGGTTCAATTGCCAGGTATCTGAGGGGACTGGGATTAAGAGATGGTTCAACATGGGTGTCAAGCAAGTAGGCAGGAGTTCCGGTAAGGACCTGAGCAAGGACAATCCATGATCAGATGTGGGAGGGATGCTGAAAGTTCCCACAGGAAAGGCCCAGAGGAGTGAAGTTACAGAAGCAGGCTTCAGTGAGCTGGTGAGAGGTCTGAACAGTAGGCAGATCTCTACAGGACTGTGACCAAAAGGTAGAAATGTAGGTAGCAGTTCAGGGAAGGGGATGGATGTGGGAAGTAGAGAAGAAAGGATGACTGATATGCAGAGGGGCTCCCAACCAGACGGTACACCTGCATCTGAGGGGTGACCATGTGGATCACTAGGAGGAAAGCTCTATGAGGCACTCAGTGAGTGAATCCGGGAGGGCTGCATCATCTCAGCCTGAGCCTGTATACAGCAGCTCAGGTGCAGTTAAAGTAGGTGTTTGGGGCTGGAAAGAACAAACACTAGCACCTGTAGCCAAACTATAGTCAACAATGAAGAACAGAAGAGGCATCCTTCATGTAGGTCCAGTGAGTCAGGACAATGTAGAGCAGGTTGAAAGGACACCTCAGTGGTAGAGTGCTTGCTTAGAATAGGGGAACACATAGCCCTGCCTTCAATCTCTATTAAAGCGGGAAGGGGGGGTGTTAATATCACTTTTCCACTAAAAAAAATGTGAGCCCAGGTATGCCAACCTAGGTATGCTAAGCACTGCTTGTTTGTTTTTCCTGGCTCCCGCTTCACATCAATATATAATAGAAAACATATCCATTTGAAGCAAAAATCAATAGTTAAACAGAAAAACCTTTGGCAAGTTTCAATGTAATGGGTTTATCTGCGCAAAAGCTATAACACAATGATGCATGAACAGGGAAATCTTCCAATCGAAAGACCTTCAGAGAATTCCAAACACCCATGTTCTCTGAAAACATTTACCAAAAAACAGTGAGGCGAAGAAAACAACTTAACCAGCTGCTACTGAATCAATGAGTCAACCTGTTACTGTTTAATTAGGACCACCCATGCTTCAGTTACTATAACTCAATTCTCTATTAGTTTGGTCTTTCGGGCCTACTCCAAGTCTGTGGCCTCCCCAAATTTTATTTAACAATACCACCACGAAAGACTTTGTCAAAAGCCTAGCCTTACAAACAAACATCTAACTAGAAAACTTCTATTCATCCTTCAAAACCCACCTCTAGCAAGCCTTCCCTGATGTCCTCTCCTTAAGATTGGTATTTCTAAATGCTACAAACTCTTCTTAGACTAGTATCACTCTAATTTTTAAATTCTCTCCACCAAACAATTGAGAAAAAAGGGAGTTAGGACTGTATTTGTATTACCAAAGCTCAGCATAGTGCTTAATAGGCTGACATAAACAGAACTGAATTTTACTTTACCTCCCTAAATTCAGAAACCAGCAAAACACCAGACTGTGTGGCTGAACTGGTAGAGCACTACTCACGAACAAAAAAGCCCTAAGTTCAAGCCCTGGTACTGGCACTTATGTGCACATATACACAAAAAATTACATGTGTGGGACTGGGAAGTTGGCTCAGTGGTAGAGTGTTTGCCTTGCATGCATGAGGCCCTGAGTTCGATTCCTCAGCACCACATATGCAGAAAAAAGCCGGAAGTGGCACTGTGGCTCAAGTGGTAGGACACTAGCCTTGAGCTGAAGAGCTGAGGGACAGTGCCCAGGCCCAGAGTTCAGGCCCCATGACTGACACACAAAAAAAATAATTACATGTGAAAAAGAAAAATAAACTAAACAAAAATTACATGTGTACAGATGTGTGTATATGTATATATACACATACGTATGTATATATGTACACATATGCATATAATATACACTACACACACATGCACACGCACACTAAAAAAGGACCTACAAGAACAGGGAGGAATTCCTGGACAGAAAAGAGCAACAAGCTATAAACAGAAACATGGAAGGCCTGTACCAGAACTACACAGCTCAAACTATAATGGGCCCCCAATGATCACTAAAAAGAACTGGGCCAGGTAAAGGAGAGCTCTAAAAGGGGAACTAAAGAACTTAGCTTCACTGTATAAAACTAGAAGCCAGAGTTTTGCTGTGTTTCAGAAAAACCCAGGTAGTTGTATTTCTATGAAAGAGCAAATGGAAAAGAATTAAACAAAATTTTTGCAGGGTGCTAGTGGCTCACGCCTGTAATCTAGCTACTCATGGGGCTGAGATCTGAGGATCGCGGTTCAAAGCCAGCCCGGGCAGGAAAGTCCATGAGACTCTTCAATAAACCACCAGAAAACCAGAAGTGGCGCTGTGGCTCAAGTTATAGAGCAGTAGCCTTGAGCTAAAGAGCTTCAGGGCCAGCGCCCAGACTCAGAGTTCAAGTCCCACGACTGGGGGAAAAAATTTTAGATCAATTAGTCTAATTTCCTGGTTTTACAAGATGAGGAAACAGAGGCCAAGGCTAGTATTTCAGTGGGAAAGGAACACTTGGAAGGGACCCGGTTTTGGTGCCCTGAACAAAATTATAACAAGGAATGCAAACCAAGAGTGCCTGAATGGAGACTCTAATAGTGTGAAGGTGGGATATAGCTTTGGTAGGAAACTATTTCCAAACTCAAGCTTCTTTTCCCAAGCACCTCACTGAATAGTGCTTAATCTAGTAGCTTCTGTGCTAAAACACACAAACACAACAACGCACCTGCCATCTCCAGCAGACGTTTGGCCTGCTTCACTTCTGCTCTGGTGGCCCTTCCCAAAAGCAGGTGCTGTCTCAGAGAGACCCTTGATGCTCACTCACCACATTCTGTGCCCTCCCTTCAGAAGCCCCCCTGCCTCAATAAACACCAATCTTGTCTGTCCTATGCACGTCCGCCATTCTCGCCAGATCCCTCCGCCGGCTATAACAACCCTGCAGGTGTCTTTTGGTCCACAGGTGCTTCATGAATAGATGTGTGAGGTCTGGGAGTCGGCACCCCGTCGGCGCCACTGGCTCACTCACACCTGTCATCCTACGCTTAACTAGGGCTGAGATCACAGGAAAAAACAAATCTGTTGAGACTTTATCGGTGAAACCATCCTCCCCCCCACACACACCCCTCTCCATTAAACCACCAAAAATCTGGGGAGGAGCACGGCGGCTCCAGCGGCCAAGAGCTGGCTCAAGCCTGGAGCACAAAGATTCCAGGGACAGCTTCTGCCAGGCCCTGAGTTCCAGCCCCGGGACTGATACAAAACAAGTGTCAGCACCCCCTCAGTTCCACCCCCCAGCCTCCTGGTCCACCAGTGGGGTCGGGCCGGGCCCAGCTTGGAATCCACACACACACACACACACACACACACCCGTACCCCCACCAGAGCGGGGGTGGGGGCGGCCTGGCGACGGAGGAGGGCCGGGGCAGAAATGGGCACGGAAGGCGTCACCCCGGAGAAGGGAGGGAGAAGGGCCTCAGGTGGGGAACTGGCAAGCAGACAGACGGACGGACGGGCCGACGGACAGATCCTGGAGGCACAGGTCTGGAAGCGGTGGGGGTGGGGGGAGGAGGCGAGCACGCAGGGACCCGACGGACGGTGAGGGGGAAACGCGGCCTCGCCCGACCCGGTGGCCGGGCCTGGAAGCGGGGAGTGGGGGGCGGGCGGGGCGGAGCCCGGAGCCCGAGGGGCGTCACGCGCCGAGACGCGGCGGGAAGGCGCGCTCACCTTCTTCACGGCCGGCTGGAAGTGGAAGTCCCCGGCTTCCTTGAGGTCTAACCAGATCATGGGCATCCGGGGAACGGCCTCCATGGCGGCCCTCAGCGCCCGGCAGGCCCGGCTGGGCCACTCCCCTCGCCGCGGTCTGGGTGCTGCCTCAGCCGCGCGCACGACCCCGCCCCTCCACGCCGGAAGTCGCTCGTCACGAGGGCCGCTCCGCCTCGTCCCCCCACGTGACTGCACCGCTGCCTGCCGGGAGATGCAGTCTGCGGGCTGCGTGGACCGTTACGCATGCTCAGTCTTCCCTACTGCGAGGGAGTTATGGGAGGGCGCGTGCGCCGTACCTTTTTTTGCACATGCTCAGTCTTCCACGTGCCGTGGGAGAGGAAAAGCATCTCCATGGGGGCGGGGGAAGAGCGAATGGGATTCTGGGAGTCGTAGTCTCCCGCCCCGGAACTATGAGGCAAAGCAGGCTCATGACCAGCATATATTCTACCAGCCAGTGGGGCGGGGCATTAGAAAAGACACCTGTGTTGGGCTAGGGGGCGTGGCTCGACAGGTACAACGCCATGCCCTAACAGATGGGATACCCTAAGTTCGATTCTCAATATCACCACCAAACAGAGAAAGTAAGAGAGCCTGGCCCCCCCGTGGCTCACGCCTGCTCAGGAGGCTGGGATGTGAGGATCGCGGTTCAAAGCCAGCCCAGGCAGGAAATGTCCTATGAGAGTATCTCCAATGAACTACTAAACAAGCCAGAAGTGGAGCTGTGGGTCGTGGTAGAGCACTAACCTTGCCTGGAGCACAAAAGCTCATGGACAGTGCTCAGGCCTTGAGTTCAAGCCCCAGACCTGGCATGAAAGAGGAGGGAAAGAGAGAGAATTAACAAAGGTTCATTCCAAGCATAGCGGAAGGGGATGGATGGACAGACAGACAGACAGACAGACAGATAGATATAGATAGATAGATAGATAGATAGATAGATAGATAGATAGATATCCTCTTGGAAGGCCTGGCATTGCCAAAGAGTAAAGAATGCAAAGAATGTTCACTCCTGATGGTGGGACAAGCAAAAAAGGCCCACAGTTGTGTGATCGCTGGGGTGAGCACATGTATAACCAGCCATGTGTGCACCTAAGGACATCTGAACTACTGAAGGGATCGTGGATTGAAGAACAGTCAGAAAACAAAACTGAATTTTGTTTTTTAAAGTTACTGTGGGGCTGGGAAGGTGGCTCAGTGGTAGAGTGCTTGCCTTGCATGCATGAAGCCCTGGGTTCAATTCCTTAGTACCACATGAGCAGAAAAAGCTTAGTAGTAGAACACTAGCCTTGAGTTAAAAAAAAAAAAAAAGCTAAATGAGAGTATGAGGCCCAAGATCTGCACACACCCACACACATCTGACCATCCTTTTTGTAAAGGATGTTGTGTGTGTTGGAGCCTTTCTGTCTCAGATCTGGCAGAAAGAAAGAATTCCTCATAGTTTCTGCCCAACCATCATCCAGGTTCTTAGAGCTTGGATGCCACCTATTCCATCAGAACAAGCTGCTTAACCATGCAGTACCCTCCCTCTTGTCCCCAAAGGGTCTTGGACCCTCTAGGAACTTCAGGGTGTTAAATACTTTCTCTCTCAGAAAGGCTCAAGCACAGCATCCTTTGCAAAAAGGGTAGTCGGGGGGTTGGGAAGGTGGCTCAGTGGTAGAGTACTTGCCTTGTGTGCATGAGGCCCTGGGTTCAAGTCCTTAGCACCACATAAGGAGAAAAAGCCAGAAGTGGTGCTGTGGCTCATGTGGTAGAGTGCTAGCCTTGAAGAGCTGAGGGACAGCACCCAGGCTGAGTTTAGGCCCCACCACTGACCAGAAAAAAAAGAGGAGTTGTCAGAAACGTTTGTGTATGAAGGGTTACCAGAGCTTGAGCTCAGGGCCAGGGCACTTTCACTTGGCTTTTACACTCAAGGCTGGTGCTCTACCACTTGAGCCACACCTCCACCTCTAGCTTTTTCCTGGATAATTGAAAATAAAAAGTCTCTAAGGGCTGGGAAGGTGGCTTAGTGGTAGAGTGCTTGCCTAGCATGCATCAAGCCCTCTGTTTGATTCCTCAGTACCACATCAACAGAAAAAGCTAGAAATAGTGCTGTGGCTCAAGTGGTAGAGCACTAGCCTTGAACAAAAGAAGCTCAGGGACAGTGCCCTGAATTCAAGCCCCGGGACTAGCAAAAATAAAAATAAAAAAGAAAAGCTCAACAAAAGAGAAATTCATTTATTTTTGTTGTTTTTAAGGATGTAGGACTTGTTTTTTGTTCTTTGGCGGGAAGGGGCTGCTACTGGGGCTCGAACTCAGACTGGACTTGGATGCTGTCCCTTAGCTTTTTCCCTGAAGGCTGGTCCTTTATCACTTGAGCCACAGCTCTATTTTTGCCTTTTTAGTGATTCATTGGAGATAAGTCTCATGTACTTTCCTGCTCAGCTGGCTTCTCAGAACTCATCCTTCTGAGTAGCTAGGGTTACAGCTGTGAGCCACTTACACCTGGCAGATGTGCTGTTTTCTTCTTTTGAAGGGGCGGGACTTGAGTTACTTTTTCTCAAGACCAGGTTTAATCATTGAACAAGGGACCTTCTTGTGCCAATATTTATACATGGAGGGGAGCAATGAGAATTTAATCTATCTAGCATAACCCCTCAAATTCACAATATTGATACGGAGGGCCTAGGTTGATGGGGCCTGGAACACTTCACAGCCTCTAATGTTGCTTGTGCCAGGCAATGAGCAGAAGCCCAACTAGATTGTCAAGGGTATCCTGCAGGTCTGTTAATACACTATGGGAATTCCAACTCCCCTAAGTCAGGACTGGGGTTAGACCAGGGCACTTTTTTGCAGGAAAGGAGGGAGTTGTTTTGTGCCAGTTCTGGGGCTAGAACTAAGGGCCTAGGTACTGTCCTTGAACTTTTATGCTCAAGGCTAGTGGTGCTCTTCCACTGGAGCCACAGCTCCACTTCTGGCTTTTTGGTGGCTAATTGGAGATAAGCATCTCCTGGACTTTTTTTTTTGTCAGTTGTGGGGCTTAAACTCAGGGATTGTAAACAGTCCACGAGCCTCTTCGTACTCAAGGCTAGCACTCTACCACTTGAGCCACAACGTCACTTCCAGTTTTTGAGTGGTTAATTGGAGATAAAAGTCTCACAGGGATTTTTCTACCTGGGCTGGCTTTCAACTTCGATCCTCAGATCTCAGCTTCTTGAGTAGCTAGGATTACAGGTGTGAGTCACCAGCCCCTGGCTTACAAGCACACTCTTAAATGCAACCAAATTCTCCTTACTTCTAACTAGTGTAGAAATGTGTCCACAGTGCTGGTTTCGAACATCAGACATGTGTCCCCACAGGAAGAATGTGGCCACAGCTACTTTCTCCTCCCCACTGGATGGCTCAGGCTACTTGTCTAGAATCTGTGCTCACTTTCTGACCATTCCTGGACACCAAGAAGAAACTGAGAAGGCCTGAGAAGGGGAGGGAACTTATAAAAGTGGTGGGGTTTCGTCCTATTTCTCCAGCCCTTGTGAAGTCTTTTGGCTCTAGCCACCATCTTCTCTCTTCTAGCAGGAATGGGCCAGCCAAAATAGGAAGCTATACATCAAGTTTTATTTTTTAGTTTTTTAATTTAGTTTTTTGCCCATCCTGGGGCTTGAACTCAGGGCCTGATCATTGTCCCTAAGTTTCTTTGGCTCAAGGCTAGCACTCTATCCCTTGAGCCACAACACCACTTCTGGCTTTCTCTGTTGATGTGGTACTAAAGAATCGAACCCAGGGCTTCATGTAGGCTAGGTGAGCACTCTACCACTGAGCCACCTTCCCAGCCCACCAGTATTTCTTCGAAAAAAACCCACCTCTGCCACTTCCTGCAAACTCATTTGTATGGTCCCTGTTTTACGTACTAGACTTGATCACTTAATTTTATCTCATTTCCCCTCACTTTCTCTGTCGATTTTGTTTTGAGACATTTTGTCCTGAGACCATGGAGAAGCATCCAGACATGGCAGGAGTTCACGTGGCCTCGGCCTTTGTGTGGTAGGGTCCAAGCAGTTCCGACAACAGAGTACAGAGATACACATAGGTGTGTGGCCAGACTCTGGGTAGCAGTGACCTTGATGAGGCCACTCCTTTGCTCCAGAGGTGATGTGGCAGTAGCCCCAAACTATGGTGGTAGCTACATATTCTCTACCCAGACATTCTAGGGCTGTGTTCCAGGCTCTCCCCATCCCCGGTTGCCCCCCTTACTCTGAGCTACCTGCTCAAGCTCAGCGGCGGCCCACGCTGGCCAGAACATGGGCGTTGGCGGCGGCTCGCTCCCTGGCTGCCCTGCTCCGGGCTTGTTCCAGTACAATCCGCAGGAGGCCAAGGGGGACGTCCAGTGAGAGGACCATGCGGGGGCCGGGGTGACTCCAGGAAACTGAGGAGCTCAGGGTGACAACCGATGGGCTCTTCGAGGTGATGGGACAAGGGGTAGTCTGGGGATGGTCCTCAGAGGAAGGTTGGAAGGCTGGGACAGGGCTTGCCAGGGCTGCCGGGACCCTGTCTAGCAACACCACCATTAGCACCAGGGAAACGCATCTGGTCATCCTGCAGTCAGGCTGTAAGGAAAAGACAGGCGTGAGGGAAGGGGTGCGGGGTCCACCTTGGTCCACTGAGAATACAGAGGGCAAGAGGTGGGATGGAAAGGTGGCTCAGTGGTAGAGCACTTGCCTTGCATGCATGAGGCCCTGGGTTCAATTCCTCAGCACCACATAAGCAGAAAAAGCCGCAATGGTGCTGTGGCTCAAGTGGTAGAGTGCTCGCCTTGAGCTGAAGAGCTGAGGGACAGTGCCCAGGCTCAGAATTCAGGCCCCACAATTGGCAAGATAAAAAAGTGAGCCAGACCTCATCTTAGCATATGAGTTGGGTATGGTGGCACATGCTTTTGTGCTAGCCTAAGATGAGGGAACCCAGACCTGTAGGCCTTCTATGGAGTAGTCTCCAATGCAAATACCTTTAATTCCAGCTGTGCAGGAGGCTTAAGAAGGAGGAATCAAAGCTGGGTGCCGGTGGCTCACGCCTATAATCCTAGCTACTCAGGAGGCTGAGATCTGAGGATCGCGGTTCAAAGCCAGCCTGGGCACAAAAGTCTGTGAGACTCTTATCTCCAATAAACCACCAGAAAACCGGAAAGTGGCACTGTGGCTCAAGTGGTAGAGCACTAGCCTTAAGCTGAAGAGCTAAAGGACAGCACCCAGGCCCAGAGTTCAAGCCCCATGACTGACAAAAAAAAAAAGGAGAAGGAATCACAGTCAGAGGTAGCCCTGGTGGAAAAAATGAGATCCTATCCAAAACATAACTAAAGCAAAAAAAGGGGAGGCTGGAAGCATGGCTCAAGTGGTAGAAAGCCTGCCTACTAAGTATGAAGCCCTGACTTGAAATCCCAGTATAGTAAATAAATAATTAAAATAAATAAAGCAAGCCAGAAAAAAATTGCAACATAGCTAGATAGAAAAAGGGTCAGGGGCCGGGCTCTGGTGGCTCACACCTGTAATCCTAGCTACTTAGGAGGCTGAGATCTGAGGATCGCGGTTCAAAGCCAGCCTGGGCAGGAAAGACCGTGAGACTCCTATCTCCAATAAACCACCAGAAAACCGGAAGTGGCGCTGTAGCTCAAGTGGTAGAGCGCTCGCCTT